CCCCCCCACACACACACACACACACACAGAGAATCCCAAAAGGCCTTCAGATGTATTCAAAATGTCTTACATGGCTCTACTATATATAGCTTCAAAGACCCAGATTCCCTATGTAGGCAAGGCACACATGCATGCAAGCACATACGTACATGCACGCACACACACACGCACACAGACTCACACAAAATGTTCTGGCACAATTTGGAATACTCGAACATTACTATCTGAAAACAAAGCTCTCTCTCTCACACAAACACACACACACACATGCACTCACGGTATGGGAAGGAATGGATAAAGGCGCTGGATAAAGGAATGTGACTAATGGAGGAAAGTTGCTTAATGACAAATTGTCAGATTGCAGAAGCCATTTTCTTTGCTCGTCATTTAGTTCTTTCATCCCAGAGTGCCGTTAAAATATTCCTCTGCTTCAGGCTTCTGCTCGGTCACACTCTCATTTCATCTAAGTCCCATCCCTGCATTTTCTCTCTCTCTCTCTGCTTTTCTAGACATGGCAGCAGAATACCCACAATTTGGATGTTCTCAAAAACTGGGTCATAAAAAAACACTGCATGCTCAACAATTCCGGACGCTTTGACTGTAAACACAGTATAGTGAAAATAAAGAGTTGTATTCATTGTGTGGTAGAAGCCAATATGAGGTTTAAAAAATACAAATGTTAAAATACATTGCATTTTATTGTAGCTTTTATTATTGTGTTATCCATTATGTATTGATGGGGTTTGAATTTGTATTGCGTCTGTGAGCTAAATTATCACCTCTTCCACTTTAAAACACAATTGGACAGAAATGCAAAATTAAGAATGGAAAATATAAAAAATAATTGCATGTGAAATTAATTATTAATTAATAAGTTGGTGTGTAACAACTAAACTGTCAAAAACAGAAGTCCCAAACATTGTGAGCCTATGTCACCTCCCCCCAAGTCCTGAGTCTCTCTCCCTCCCTCTCTCCTTCTGATCTGAAATGACTAATTCATCCGCGTGTTAATCTATCCCTGCCCAGACTCAGCTCAGTTTGTGCAGGTGTTTTCAACAGGAATGAGCGGCTGCCACAAGTCTCACACTATATGCAACACAGTGACGAATGTGTAACAGTGTAGTGCCATCTACTGGGACTCATCACAGCTGATGATTGATCTGTGGGTTGTATAATGATCAAGGAACAAGAGGCCAGTGTACAGCAGCAACCTACAGGCTGGAAACACTGCTCCAGCAATCACGATCATGTTTCCCTTCCCCAGCTTCTTTATTCAGAGAATTGTTGCTTGTGTATTCATTGTCATATAAATACACACCCATACACACTCAAAAGGTTCACTTGACACAAATCATACTCAGAGGAGAGACAAAAAAACAAAAGAATAAAGTATTACTTGTCAATTTAAAGTCATTAATCACCCCCAAAGAACACCTGAACAAACACATGTTTTCTCTCTACTGACACTCCGGTACAGGTGAAGGTGCTCTCCCAGCCACCCCCACAATACCGCAACACACACACACACACACACACAGTGACAATAGACACATCTGTATAGTCAGACTGGGTGAAAACATAATTGGGTCTTTATATTTGTATATAGAGAGTTGAGACCTAATCATAAGTGGTTTCTCGAGACAAATTCAGCATGCATGTTAATACTAGGTCTGAACAGCCAAAGTGAACCGTTAGATGAAGAGCTGCCATACCTCTCCAACTTCTCCACCAGGTATCCAGCTCCCTTTATTGTGTCCTGCTATTTGCATACTCATGCTGTGAGCAGCATAAAATCACCTCACCTCTTCTCACAGATCGATGGAAAAGGAAAACTATTGGTTTAGTTTTAAAGCAGATAATTTCCTGCTATATTTACATTCGATGTCCACACCACTCTGGAGTTTTCAAGCCCCTGATAGGGAAATGCAAATATGGACGATAATTGTTTGGATTTTAGAATAAAACTGTTTGAATATCACCTCAAATCACATTTGCTGTTAAATGGTCTGTATTTATATAAACCATTTAACTTGATGACCACTCACATCACTTTACAGTACCGTTTTTTTGCCACTCACTCATGCACACACACATCTGTGCATCCGTGTGCGGCACTTTCTTTATCTTGCCCAAGGCACTAGTTCAAAAAACAGAAACATCCTTTTATTATCTTATCATTTAGTCCAAATCCTCATGCAACTACAGGAACTACACACACAAACATATATATATATATAGCCTACTTGTGTAAGCATGAAGATGCCTTTAATTATATTGTATATACAGCTCCTATTATCAAGCCTGAACAGTCAGGAAATTCATGCTAACAGATAAATGTGCCATGTTTAAGACTACTAAAATTAATATAAAAAAATATACATAAATATAAAATGGCTTAACTACATTTGTGTTGGCAAACTGACTACTGTCTATTCTGTGGTTATGAAATTCCACCTTAAAAAGCAACAATGACAACACCACATATTTTAAACTTTCAAACGTAGAGATAAAATATTGGTTTCACAAATATTTGCAGCTACAGATGTCTAAATGTTGTCATTTAAGTGACTAAATGCTTAACCAGAATATCAACTTTTAATAATTTAACAAAACCCTCCACCCAGCTAAGTGGAGAGTGATCTCCAAGACTGAATCAAACTATTTTATTGTTTTCATGTTGTTAAAGATCTTCAGCATTGCAAACAATGAAGGAAAAGAAGCCTTTGTTTTCACTGAGGTTAGGTGAGAATAAACAAAAGTACAAAATTCCCCCAGTGTAATAATTTATCAATAAATTACCAATTAATCCTTAAATCAAATTCAATCACAGTTTTTTTTAAATACTCACAGCGTTATTCATTTACAAAGAACTGTGGGTAATACACAGAAAATGTCCAAATCTGAACATGAAAAAAATTAAAATAACATTGATAAATAGACTTTTTAAGCTTCATAATACACTGACTTGGTGAACAATGTGATTCATGGAATCACGGTAAACATTAGAACAGGGGAATTTGTAGTGCACTCACTGTGGACATGGCACTAAACTTAATGCTGTTTCATAGGTTACACAACAAATAGATGGGGTTGTCGTGATTCATGGCCTCTCCAACTAACTGATGTTAACAGCACTGAAGTAAACCTCAGCATCACAGAGAGCTCCAGTATCAACTGTGCACAGGACCGATGCTTCTCCAACTGGCACAAACTGTCGCTACGCATTTGCAGACGCATTGACAGATGCTGCATATACACCCTGTGTTTCTCTCATCTCACCCTGGAGGTACGAGCAGGTCCATGTAATGATATGTATACAAGAGGTGTTTTCATGGACACGATACCACACACACACACACACACACACACTCACCTGCTGTAAATACATGAAGGTGAGGGCGGCGCAGGACAGCTGGGGACAGGCGTCCACGTTGGGTAACGCTACGCATGTTCCTCCAGGATGCTGCATGTTCCCTCCTCTGGCTGACAACACAAACCCCCTCAACCCCGACAACACTCAACCGTGGTGTGAGGCACAGGCGGGAGCAGGAGAGAGGGGGAGGAGGAAGAGAGAAAGAAAAGGTACAAAGAAAGAAAATAGAAAGAAGGAGAGTGACCAGAGATGGAGCTTCAAAGGAAGCAGCAGCCGGTCCCGTACGATTGAGACGCGAGTGTTTTCTGCTCGCAAGAAGGTGGGACGAGAGAGAGAGAGAGAGGGAGAAGAGAGAGGGAGAGAGAGAGAACTACTGCAGTGTGTGTGTGTGTGTGTGTGTGTGTGTGTGTGGAGGCAAGCCAGCAGTCAGTGTGACTGCAATCGCTGGAGCGTGAGGGAGGCAGAAAATTGTCTGTGTGTGTGTGTGTGTGTGTGTCAGGGAGTCCAGCTATGTGTATGTGTTTTGTTTCCTGTAAAATATGCTGATCTCTCTCTCTCTCTCTCTCTCTCTCTCTCTCTCTCTCCCATTCTCTTGATGAATTGAAGTTGCCTGACATGTGTTACTGGAGGCAATCGTGGATGCTGACTACAGCAACAACAGCCTTCAAGCTTCCCTCTCTCTATATCCATAGTTTGATACCAATCAGATAATGCTTGCAGATGAAAACATTCAGATATTAGCTGTAGTTCCTCCTCCTTGGTCATCAGTTCTTTTCACTGGCGTTTTGCAGGTTATGAATGGAGGGGCGTCAGCGTCATGAGTTACACATGGGCCTAGTGTGATCTATAGAATCCCTATCTCCCTCTGATTCCACAGCCTTCCTATCGCTGAGGGAGCTTCCCTCTCCCCTGTTAGAACACACGGCAGCTTATTATTTGGTTTAAAAACAAGCTTCCAACTTGTGTCTCTCTCAGTCTTTGAGCTGGGCAGTGAGAAATAGTGTATTGTGTGACCTGGTTTAGATTTGTGCAGTGTGGCTGATTCTGCTTGGTAGTCAATGGCTTGATGGGCAGAGAGGGCGAGACAGGCTCTCTCAGGTAGTTTGGATGTCCGTCATGTGCAGCAGTTTAGTTAATAATGTCTGGCTTGTTTCAGCTCCCTCAGTTATGAATACTGGGGAGCTCTGTCGGATGAGTTGTTGGAGTGATGGGACATTTAAAGATGGATGTGAGGGACAAGTGGTTGAAAGACCACAAGAAGAAGATTTAAAGGTTCAGTGTGTAAGATTTAGGTTAAAGGAATCTATTGGAAGAAATTGAATATAAAATAATCCTAATGCTGATTTTACTTGTGTGTTTCATCTAAATTGAACAAATTGTTGTTTTCTTTACCCTTGAATTGGCCGTTTATATTTTAATACATTATATTTACATGGGGAGGTGGTCCTCTCTACGGAGGCCGCCATGTTTTTTACAGAAGCCCAGACCGGACAAACTAAACACCTTTTGAGTTTTTAGAAGGCTGCCACTGTTTCTCTTTCATATTTGGAAGGGGAGGGTGAGGTTGGGGGTATTCAGCTGCAACATCAACTTCACCACTAGATGTCACTAAATTCTACACACTGATGCTTTAACAGGACATTTTTTTAGGACATTTCTGGCTCAAGTTGCATGCGGTTGTAGGTGGGACAAATCAGACTTTAATAAAGCTAGCTGGATACTGGATTATTTTTGGAACAGTGTGGGAGTTGCCAATATTGGGAATGGAAGTCAAAAGACTGCATGGGCCAGCTCAAGAATGCAGAATTAACAGTGATGAGTTATTTGAGGCCAAAAGTTATGGTTGGGAGAAGAAAGAACGATACACCTGCTTTTCCTCTGTGTTGCTAGCTACTGTGCTCTACAGAATATTCTCTCAAAACATGGTAATATAGGATTATAGAGTAGGCGATTTGTAGGGGGAATGAGGGGGAGATCCCATCCTTTACCGCAATGACAAAAAAAAATTCCCCTTAATAGCCTGCAAATTCTGCCATCTCCTCTCCGCCACCCACCCCCACCTCCCCTATGAGGAAAAAATGCAGCATGTGCAGATAAAGAAGTTACAGTGATGATCTCCGTCATGGCAACAGCATCCATAGAGTCACTTTTGGCTTTTTGTCAACAAAGTCAAAGCACAACATTTGTTTTGTTGCAGCAATAATTTATATTAAGCTGAATGACAGAGCTTTTTTTTTGCAAAGTTGTGAACTTGGTTCTTAATATTTCTTGACCTATAAAATAGTAGACAAAAAATAACACAGATTATGTAGATCATTCAAACCTATATATAAACCACAGCAATGAAGCAAATCTTAATCTTAAGATATTCATTACTCATCAACCAAGTAAGATGAATGCAAAGTTGTCTAAATTGGCTTAGTTTACTCTACAACATCCAGCATACAAACAATACAAAAGTGACAGTAAATTGTTTGAGGAATAATTCTGACGTAGCTCCAGAGCATGCAGGGAATGCTGCTCTTTGCCTCACTCTCCTCTCTACCTCATAAACACACTTATCTTCTGTCACAGTTTAAATGTGCATCAGTAGCACAGGCAAAAATCCTGTGTGCATTGGTGACTGGTGGTCGGTGGCCATCCATAAAGATTTACCATTTTCAGCAGGTAGGCAGTATTCAGCATCAGCCCTACAATGACTATCTTCTTAGGTAGGATGTTCCATTTGCCGACAATGAGAGACGGGGTGGATTTCTACTACCTTTATATTTTATATTATAGCCAATAATTATCGTAAACCAGTCCTGACATTGTTGTGAGATTGTTTTCAGTATTAACTAAAGTAGTAATGCTTTATGTACCTTTTATTTTCATGTGAATTTGTCGTGTATTCTGGTCTGTCACCCCGTCGCGCTGTGGTATGTTCACTCAGGAACCTGTCTCTCTCTACGTCTGCATCAGGAGCTGAAGGAGACAGTTATGTTTCTGGAGTGTTCTGCTTCTAAGTGTCATTCCAACGGTTAATGCATGGCACTGTGTTCACTGTCTGAAAGAGCAATATAAGACAGCTTTAATGTACAAAGCACAAGTCTGTACTGTAAGGTGTTTTAGAATTATTTCAACAGTTAGTGCTGCGTTGTTTTTGGCTGTGTTCCTTTGAAGGGCTGCTTGTTTAGAGTATCGCCTGGCAGTTTGCGCAAGTGACCCACGGCATTATGGGAGATGTAGTTTTCTTAAGGGATTTGTCTAAAACAAATGTGGAGTGTATTGTTTCTTTCCTATTGTTGTTTGTGAACCCACATTGAGTCATTATGGTAACTCTGTAATGTGAAGGCACACAAGGCATGGTATATGTATTTTGTTTTGCATTTGTTTTACATTATGTAATGCTTGGTTGTTGGTACACGTAGAGTTACTGTGTTCACTCTGTGATGGGTCAGATATGTGAGGCAAGGCGTATTTATTTTTATTTTGCAGAGGATGTGAGCTGATGCAATCCCTGTCACATGTTGTACCATTACAGATTCATTCAGTAAAAGAGATCCAAAGAAAGCTGTGTGCCACTTTCGCTGTGCACGTTCAGTTCGCTACTGCTGGGACACACCTCCACCCCCAACCAATCAGCTCCAAAAGCTAATTATCTGGAGATACTTCACAAAGTAATATTCACACCAAGTTTGGTCAAAATTAAACCACGCACGAGTTATCTTACACAATGCACACACACACAGGCACACACAGGGGTGAAAACAATACTATGCAGCACGCATGGTAATGAAGAATGAAATTAGAACTGTTTAGAATAAGAAATTATCCTTGTTGAAAAATTGTTGTACAGACAGCAGTAATCTATACATATCATTACAACGAATAGATCTGAAGTCTGAGTCATTAGTTCACAGTTTAAAGATGGAAATGGTCAACCATCACCGCCGGCCTTCATTGCCCATTTTGCTCATTATATTTCATGCATCATATGAATAAACATCATGGTCAGGTGAACAATGTTACAAACTCGATATTAAGTGAAGAGGTCAGTGTTGCAGAGGTTTTGCACTGCGGTAAATCAGGATTGGGAAGAGAGGCAGCTGTAGTTGTTGCTTGCTGTCAGAGAGGTTGTGAAAGAGATAGCACTGGGGTTTAATCAGAATAAACTTGAACTTGGGGATGCAGTGTGATCAGATGGCACAACTTGAAACCCCTCAGAATGTCATTGATTGTGTCAGGGAGCTTGTACCAGTCTTCTATAGCTAATGCCTCAAAAAAAAAAAAAAAAGCATCTTCACAAGCATGAAGTTCACCGGCATCTCCACTCGTCGGTCCACCATTTCAGGTGATGTTGTGAAATAGCATGGAGCATGGGCGTTTTGTATTCACTGCTGTTGCCATCATTGCAATCAGCTTCTCAATTATGATTCCGTCAGTGTTAATAATTAAGGATTTTATCTGGAGCTGAATTATCAGCAGAGGTCTCCTCCTCTCTGAAGCAATTGGACCTATGTGATTAGAACCAGTAAGACAGTGAATGCAGCAGTTTGAAGTTTAAAACCTGTTCAGTACATACGAGGGCTGGGAGCCAAGTTGTCATTCGTATTTGTTTCTCTGACAAGTTGAAATTCCACACTACGCATCATAATGCAGTCTTTCGGAATAATAAGGGGACCGTGGTGTTTAAAGTTGACTGCGGATCCTTATCTACTACACACTTTGCAGCTATTGAACATGCCAAAAACTCTTTTGAAGAATTGTAGACTAGGAGAAGAGATGGAAAAAAAGGCTTTCTGTTCTCAGTTGTGCTGATGGTTTTTTCAAAGTATACTTGTGGTATATTGCTCCTTTAAGCAGAACAAACGCTGCCAAAGATGACTGACAGCACACACACACTAAAGAGGGACTGTTGTTGGGTCAAGCCTGTAAATTGACAGGGCACCTTGACATTTTAAAAGACTATGAGTAATTTTAATACAGAGGTTAAAAAAGCCAGAGTACGATATTTTTCTGACCTTATTGAAAAGAACAGACCCAACTCTAGGACTTTGTTTAATGTTATTAACCGTGCCACAGAGACTCCTCCAAATGTCAACATGGACTCCTCCCCCAGGAAATGACTAGAATTTGTAATCTTTACTAACAACATCTCCAGCGTTCCCTCTCCTGCACAGGACACAATTTGTAGTCCTTTGACACAATACCTTTAGACACACATTGAGGCGATTAATAAAATAAAACCATCACCATGTCATCTTGACATCGAGATTATGAGAGAAG